GGGAACCTGAAACCTCCCATTTCTCTGGGGACCACCCTGTTACAGAATCATTATCCTGGTCAATTGAGTGGGTCCTGGCAGTAGGACCCCCTCCTGCCATCCCTGTTGCTGGGCTGTCTCCTCTGCACAGCAGCCACGAGACGGCACTATGGAGATAGGCATGGTCAAGTTTGCTTCTCTCCCATTCATGGTTGATTCTCTCAGGCTGAAAGCAAATTGGATGGTTTTTTAATTTCATTTTAAAGTTCTGTGCCTTTAATTATTCAAGGACTTCAACAATAAGAATACAGTGAAGGGAAAATAAAATGCCTATGAAATGTAAGACACATTTTTCATACTTTGAATGGCCTTTAAATGATTGGAAAACTGAGGCTAAAGGGAGAAACTATGTTTTTTATTTCTCTTAGTTTTCATCAGTTTCGAGCTAACCTTGCAAATACATTTTAGATACTAAGATATATAGTAAATAAGTTGATTTGGAAACTCAACAACCTTCATGATAAAAATTATTCATGCCATTATGGGTAGCACATGCTTCTTGTATTTTATATATATATAAGTTTATATATATATATTTATAAATATATATATATATATAAATATATATATATATATATATATATATATAAAACAGCATTTCCCCCTTCTGTTTTAAATAAACAGAGGAGTGGAATCTCTGATCATTTTTTATTTCCTCTCACATTGCTTATAAGGAACTCTTGTGTGGCCTCTCAAGTAATAGATGTAAGTATGACTCTCACTGTCTTCCAAGGAATAATTTAGTGAGTGTCAAGCATTTGGGAGGAAGAGAATCAGAATGGTTTAGCAGAGTAAGACAGACTTTCATTCAGATTCCATCCTACACATGCCTTCAATTCAGCAGAGATTCTCATTTTACTTATGTATGTAAAGTATGCAGCATTGCAAATGGTGGAAGCTTCATCAAATCTAGTTTTCCATCCTTTATCCTCAAGTTTCATGGGAAAGGGGAGGTAATGAGTTACAGGCTTATAGGTGTGGGTGTTTTTAGGAGTAAGAGTATCATGGCATCCTAAATTAAGATTCCTTTGTTCATGCTCTAGGATCGGTGTTCCAGATTTTTCTTTTTGCTAGTCAAGATCAGTCTTAGATTTCCAACTGGCACTAGACCTCATTAAGTCAGGGATAGCTGGGAGGTATGGTGACCCCAAATATCCAATAGACATTCTGAGCCACTCTACACTGGGCTCTTCCTCTGAGTGTTGAGTACTGGTGTTGGTAGACACCAAAAGGATCTTAAAGACACTGGTCCTTTTGCAGAGTGAGCTCAGGGATTGGCGCTAATGAGGAAGCTTAAAAGCTCACAAGAACCTGTGTTCAGGTAATTTAAATGTGAGAGTTCCTTTTTTTGTAAAATTCAAAATATGTTTAGATGGATACTTGGCCATCATTTCAGGGCATATACAGTCTCACTGGACCCTCCTAATCCTTTAAGATCTCTTTTTGGCTTCTCTGATATAGCTATTTGAAGTGGAGCAAATATGCTTTTGCTCTTCTCTTTAGATTACATTTTAATGACTTGAATATACTTTTAGTTATTTTGGATGTATGTCTCCCACTAATGAGAATGACAAAGTCATCTCCTATACCCTGATGATTTCTTTCATAGAACAGCTCTCAATGGAGTACTGGTCTTCCTAGCTTATTATTTTAATAATAGTAATAATAGCTTAGGCTCAACTACCCTAAAACAAAACTCATCACTTTAATTAAAAGCTCTGTAACAATGGAATAACTTATATCTGTCATTATTCAGAAGGCCAGTTCATTTACTTTCCTGTGGCATAGTTTTCAACTATTTTGTTTTGTGGGACTCACTGAAAGCTATATTTTCTTATGGGTGAAAGATTTGGATTTTTTTTTCAGTTGCCTCAGTGGAATTATTGGCAATATGTCCTCTGAAAAATGTGCTAACAAAAGTCTTTGTATCAAATATACATTGTGAAGAATTAATCACCCATTTTTGTGGGCATAGGTATGAATACACATGATGGGAGAGAATTCTGTTTTGGGTTTTGAAGAAAAAAATAGCCTGACTTCTGTTCACCTCTCAGCAGAAGTAGAATAACTTTCCATTGAGAGAAAAGACTTAGGCGGAGTCTGACATATCATGATACAATTTCCAAAATGTTCATTGTGTTGCTTCTTAAGGCATGCAATTTGCCATCAACAATGTGAAATGTCCATTGTCTAGGGCTGTGCATGTGTGCTTATGTGCTCATGTGTATGTGCATATATGTGTGTATATGTACAAAGATGCCTCATGCAAGGGGACACAATCCCTGTTGCATACAGATACTGACTTACATGGAAGCCTGTGGGTGGGAGCTGAGATTCTAGGCTTCTAGCTGGAAGGGTTAACCCCTTCCTCTATAAACACACTCATGATCCTGGGGCCTTGGAGCCTCCACAGAGCAGGCATAATAGAAAGCACGCATGCCTGTGGCTGCACTGCCTCCTCACTCACTCTCTGCTATCCAGTTCCCTGCAGCTCCAGCTCTGAGGGTGACAGTCTTCTCACTGGGACAGTAGGAGGTAGGGCACAGAGGTGGTCTCCTGTGTCTGTGAATTTTCATATATGCAAGCAACATGGCCCTCTGTGTGCACCCAGACTGGATCTACAAAAGGTGTCATGGCCAGAGCAATTCAGATTGTGTAATAATGTATTAATTTAGATTTTTTTTAACTTGGGAGGAGACCTTTATCTGATTCACACAGAAATACCCTTGGTGCTAGCTAAGACCTTAGAATAAACTATAGTTTAAAATCCATTTTTGATTAACCTTCAGTAATAGCACAGTTGTCACCAGTTGTACTTCTGGATGCTCACTATAAGGGATGTGGTCAGATCATATTCTCTGGGCCAAAGATTTTTGAAGTGTCCAGTAGTGTCTCAGGGGGTTCATGAAATAGTCTAAGAGGCAGCTCTTGAGGACAAACAGTCAAGAAAAATAACTCTTTTTGGTCTCAATGGGAGCAGTCACCTTTTACTCTTCTGTTAGCGATATACAATACAGCAATTTGAGGGAAAGCTCCTGGTTGCTTACCCAAGTATTCTCTTCATCCCTGGTTCGAGGCTGCCTGTCAGACAGCTGTGTATTTGAACTTCATTGCTTGACTCCTTGTTGAGTCATGTTTACTGATTTGTACTTTGCTCCCGTGCCCTTGCAGTGTTCCAGGAGTGCTCTAGGACTGCACAGAGACTCTGTTTATAGGTTGTCGTTGTCTGTTTTATTTGATGAAATGTGTTCAGCACATCATTGTCTTTACAAGGACTCATGGAATAAATTCCATCAGTGCTTGGCATAGGGCTGTGGCTTCTCCTACAGTGATAACAATCTTAAAAAAGGAGTCTGTGAGTTTCTGTTATGTATGTGAGGTATGGTAGCCATGTTCTTGGTCACTCGGAAGTTCACACTCAGATTTGCTCCCTGCTTTTAGCAATTTGGGGGCTGCATATTCGTGGAAGTAACTTCTCTTGATATTCTTTTATTGTTCAATTCATCCCCATATGTGTGTCTCTTACTATAGTTTCTTAATACATGTACTAAGGCAAGTTATATCTCTTTAACTTGAAGTAGAATTTTCTTCTTATCTTTCAAGAAACTGGATATCCCTTAGGCATATCAGACTTTATGTTTTTTTTTTATTTTATTATTTTTTTAAAGATTTATTTTTATTTATTTATACAAGCACTAGGTACAGTCAGAAGTGCGGGAGGGTGAGAGAATGCACCAGAGCCAGAGTGGGGAGCAGAACAGGCAAAAGGACCGAAGTACACTGCTGAGGGGAGCAGCGGGCGGCAGGAGAGGTCTGCGTGCCATGTGGGACCCTCACCTGTGGCTGGGGATAAAATTGGCGCTGCAGAGGCTGCGGGCAGCTTCACAAGCCAGCGCTCAACTGCTGCACCACCGGGGAGGCCCTTCAGACTTTATGTTTTATAGAGGAAATTCTGTCTGTCTTCTTTTTCAAACTTCCCTCTTTTTTTTCTCCTCTTTTGTTAAAGGAGTCCCTTCTGTTCAGTCATCTAAGTTTGGATTCTTGCTGTCTTTTTTACCTTCTCTCTCATATTCTATTCAGTTGCTAAACAAATCCTTTTATTCCAGCCTCTGCACTGCCTTTCCAATCTCTCCTGACCCTTGCATTCATCCATACTTGCCTGACTGATTTCACTGGTTTTCTAAACAGGTCTCCATTTCTCTGGCATTTTCCACCTGTCATCCATTATGCACATTGATGACAGTTATTTAAAAGTCATTTGTTGTCCTACGATTCTCATTGTCATTATTTACAGAATGAAGTTCACATCCCTCACATGACATTCGAGGCTCTTAATAATTTGCTTCCCAACCTGTGATGTAAATCTCATCTCCATCTGTTCTTCCTTTTCTGCCTCTTTCACAGCAGCCACGGTCCCACTCACCCATCCCCAAACAGAAAATGCATTTCAGCACCTAATTCTCTTGGCCTGAAATGCTTACTCTTGGCTCCTTCAAGCCCTTAGGTTTTCCTAAGGCCATCTTATGTGAGATTTCCCTCTTTTTTTCTCACTACAGAACAACTAATTGTCCTCTGTAATCTTTCCATCTTAACTTTCTCAATACTGTGAGAGCAGTTCTCATCCTATTTTGGATGTTGTTATGTATCTTTCTAAATCATGAGCTCCTTAAGGAATTTGGCTGAATTGAAGGAGGGAATATACCAGCACCTTCCAACCTTGCTTAGAAAAATCAAAGTGAACTGACTGAGGGACTGTGGCCTCCCTCGAGCCTATAATGACTTCATTGGGTAAGGATCGAAAACGTGGCTAATTATCAGTTGACCTTAAAATGTTAATGTTGGATGCACTCTATGGTAATGGAAACTTTGTAATACTGTCATGATAAAGGTTCTAGCAAAGGGAGTTTTTTTTTTTAATCCTATATAGAAGTAAGTCATCAGATTTTCTTTTTTTCTTTTAGGAATAGGCAAGTCAAGAGGCTGAAAATCTGAAGAATGTTTCCAAAAGGGAATCTGGCTGTCACTCGCTGGGTACAGAGGAGCATGAAGAAGCTATTTCTATTACTTTCTCTCTTGCTGTCCCATGCAGCTCATTTGGAAGGCAAAAGGGATAATCAGTTCATCTGGAAACCAGGTAGGAATGCCCTGACTCTTCTTTTGTCCCATTTTCATTAATGAGAAGAATATTCTTTCCATTCTTGTTCTTCTTTGTGGAACAGTGGGAAATATCCAGAGAGAGAAGGTAGACTCTTCATTATAAAGCCTACATTTGATTTTTATTCCTGCATAATTTTCACCTGCATCTGTGATACTTGTTATCCTTCAGTATTTTTATGTTGTTGTCAATTAAAGTTATGATTCCCATAGTTACATCTGCTTCTCCTTTGTCAAATACAGCACCAGTGTGCAGCACATTTGTAGCAAAAGTGATATCTGAATTTAGCTGATATCCCAGCCACAAATCCTTTGGACCAGTTTGTGTGTCTCTTTCTAAAACTAGTATAAACTAGTTAACTATTTCTTATTGCATGCATCTTAGTATCAATCCTATATATTTAGGTCTGGAGCATGAAAAATTATCCTAAGTACTTTGCTCATTAGTTGTGTCTAGAAAGTTGCCTTAATGTGTTTTGAGATCCTTAACTGCCTTATACATAAGAATATAAATTAGCTGAGTTGAGGTCTGGAGACTTGCATAAATTATGTTCTTCTCTAAATATTTCCTTAATTTGCCATGGCAAAGATGTTTTAAATTTAATTTTAAAGGCCAATACTTTATTATATTATGAACCCCACACATCTTGACTCATTGTATCACTGATGTTTTTCTTTGCTCTGAATTTTAATTTTCTTAAAGTTTCACAATCAGCTCGTTTAAAAAATTTATTATCATTTCAAGAGTCCATTCTTGCAAATGCAGATGACTTGTATACACTTAATGTCATAGAATTGGGAAATGTGATTTTGCAGAAGAGCTATGATCCTCGAAGAGTTTTCATTTTGGTCTCGTCATCCGTAAATTAAATAGACTGCAAATGTATTCTGCCACCATGGAAATATGTAGAAAAGTGATATTTGTAATATTTAAATGACTTTGCAAAAATGAAAGTGAGTTATGCTGTAAAGTGTATTAAGTAAGAAAACAGTACCATTAGTGATATAGTCTGTAGGAAATTTAATTGCATTAAAATCCCTATAAATTAATTTAATTGTGGGCTCTAATATCACATTAGAGATTGAATTTTTTGCTTATAGTAGCTTTGGGAAGCTATGGAAATTGTCCTAAAAGTCAATATTGCATTTCTGTGAATGGGGCTGTTTTTTAAATCATCAAAGACTAATGATTTTTCCAAATCTAAATAAGCATATCAATGACTGTGATTTTATTTAAAGTTTTCAAAAAAGTACAATTAAAATGGAAAGTAGCAAATCTGAGACATATATTAGAAGTATTAAGAAAAATGTGCTTATTCTGAAGCAAATTTTAAAAATAAATTTGAAAGTAGGTAATTGAAATAAGATGGTACAAATCCTACTCTACAGTAGACAAGTACTTTGATAGCTGTCCTGCTTAAATTCTAGAAGTGGGTCCTTCCCGGTGGCACAGCGGGTAGAGCACAGTGCTGTGAAGTTGTCTGCAGCCTCTGCAGCGCGGATTCCATTCCTGGCCAGCCAGGGAGATACCCACATTGTGCGGGCAGACCTCTCCTTTCTCACCCGCTGCTCCCCTCAGCAGTGTCTTGGGTCCATCTGCCTGTTCTCCTCACACTGTCTTTGGTGAATTCTCTCACCCTCCCATGCCTCTGACCTGTACCCCCATTCTTGTATAAATAAATAAATCAATCTTAAAAACAAATTTAAAAGTGAAGCCTTCCCATCAGACACACAGCTTTGTTTACAGTGAACATCTATGCATTGCCCTCATCTTCCCACTACTGATTACTACTTTCCCTTCTTAATGTGTCCTCCAAAGGGTTATAATGTATTTATTTCCCATTTAGTTTCACTTCTAAATAGCAAAACTTTTCATTTGTATGTGACTAAACATTTTAAATGTAGGAAAAAAATTAAGATGAAAAATGAAAGCAAAATTCCAGAAATTTGTTCCACTCTCTAATCTCTTATATATCCTTTAGAAATTTGCATTGCATATGTAAGTACATCTCTATACATATCTGTATATAAATCACATACAACATACACACAAATTATTACTATATTGTTAACTAGGGTTCTGCCAAAAAATTAATTGTTATTTCAAATTAGGTAATTGAGATTGATTAAAGGACTGTTTACAAAGGAGAGAAAGTGTGAGTAAGTTAAGACCAGCAATAGGAATTGAGTGTCCCTAAGGTAGTGTGTGTGGGGGGAGTCTAGAGGACTTCTAGTTCCGCAGGAGCAACGAAAGGAATTATTTTCTGGTCTCTGGAGAAAAAAACACTTGGTGGAAAGGAGACTTGACAGATACTATGGCCTTTGGAGAAAGTAATCAACCTGCTATGGAAAATGAAAAGGGGATTAAGGGGAGAGACAACTGTTGACCTCACATCCTCTGTCAGGGCTCCCATTGTCTGAATTCAACCCAAAACCACAAGGCATGGCAGGCCTTGATGTTTCCATACAGACCAGTCTCTCAGGCAGGGGGCAGAGAAGAGAATGGAGGATAAAGAAGAACTTAAAATATCTAATTTGGCCATACATACATAAATGTCCATGCTGATATACATTTTGCTTCATACAATGAATTCAGTATGGTTCAGAATCATTCTGAGTCATCTTTTATGCAGATTTTACTATGTAGTGATGTTCTGATAAACATTATTTTTTAGTATACCTGGATCAGTTTCATCTTTTAATGACTGCATAAGTATTCTTTTGTGCTTTTTTAATAACTTATTTAACCTATGTCCTGTTGCTTTGCTTTTCTTCCCCTATTGTTTGGCATTTCTGTGGTTTTCAATGTTTTGCTATTATAAATAATATTGCCATGAATGCAACATTATTATAAAGGTAAGCAATAAATCAGTTTGAGGAGTCATGTGTCCTGGAACATTTATGGGTCATCACTTTCAAAGATAATCTCAATATTTGAGAATCTGGTACTAATATCTGAGTTTATTATATAATGTTTAGATGAAAAAAATATTGTAATTGAAATTAGCTGTGATTTTTGGAGTGTGTTATCAATTCTGACAACTCAGTTCCCATGTAAACTGGAATTTGAACAGATTTCCATGGAGACCCAGATAAATATACTTCATTTTAGAAACCTAGAAACCTAGAAACCTTCTTCTGAGCTTAGACAATAATCATCAACAAATTGAACACCTTGTTTATGTCGTTTTTCCCCTTGAGTCCACAGGTTAGATGTTAGTCATCCAAATTAGAAGCATGTCTAAGTTAGCCCTTGCTTTAGAAACACAATATTGATGAAAACTAAGATATATATACTATGTGACTAAGGATTTTTGTACTGAGGGAGTGTCTGGTGAGTTGCAGGCTGTGGGGTCATTGATCTGGCGAGGCTGTTGAATCCTGTCATCACTGTGACGAGTGCCTCTGATCTATATTTAGTGTCAGGCAATCTCTCATCTATGCCAGGAGAAAAAGATCATGTCAGCAAAAGTATCAGATAGGGAGTAATGTTGCTTCTTGTTTTAAGTAAACATATAACTATTCATGTCTGCATGCTTGGTGGGGATGAAGAGATTGTAGTTTCTGATGCCACAGTAACTGATGGTCTTTTTAAACATTTCTCGGTGTTGGTTCTAAGAGGCTCATCCATTCCACTATTTGTTTTCACTATCTGCCAAGTACCGTTACTAGGATGTGAGAAATACTGAGAATAAAACAGACAAATCCTTTGTATTTATTAATGTTCATGCAGACAATCAAGAAGTTAAATAAGTATGTCAGGTGGTGTGCTTAGAAGGAAAGGTAAGACAAGTGAGAACAACATGCAGTGAAAGATGAGAGATTGAAATTTTAATTAGTGGGCTATGGGATGCCTCTGTAAGGAAGCAAATTTGAGTAAGAACCCGAAGGAAGTTAGGAAGCTAGCTATAAAGAGATTGGAGTGACAAAAATTCCAGATGGAAGAAACAGAGGCAAAAAGCCCTGAGGAAGGAGCATTTGTAGCATGTTTGAGGACCAAAGATGAAGCCAGCATACTGAAACAGTTATAACAGGGAACTAGATCCAACTGAGACTTCATGGGGCCCTAATCAGGTATGTCCTCATAGGGCAAAATACAAGTCTTGCTTGTACACAGGGTGAGAGAGAAAGACATTGGAGAGTTTTGAGAGAGAATGTTGACATGTCTTTCTTTTTCATGTGATTAAATTGGGATCACTGTTGATGGTCAGTTGAGAATGCGAGAATGCTGGAAGCATGGAGACAGATAGAGGCCACAGAGGAAATGGGGAGGAGTGATGTGATAATAGCTTGAACCAAGGTTATGGCAGAGAAGGTGGTGAGAAGGGGTTGAATTTTGATATATTTAAGGCTATGGTTTTTCAATCAGGGTAATTTTTACCCTCGGGGGGACATTTGGTGATTGCTGGAGACACTTCTGGTTTTCACAACTGGATTTTATGACTAACATCTCTGAGAACAAGCCACGGTTATTGCTAACTACCCAGGATGCTTAGGACAGCTCCACACAAGAATGAAATATCAGGCCCCCAAATGTCAGTAGTACCCTGGTGAAAAATCCTGACTTAACATAAAGCCAGCAGGGTTTGCTGATATCTGGGCCAAGGGAGGGAGAGGGGAATAGGACAATACTGAGGTTTTGCCCTGAGCACCTAGAAAAGTGGAGTTGCCATCATTGAATATGGGCTCCCTAGGGCGGGCTGGTGTGGAGGGGATAACAGGTACCTGTTATTGGACATGTAATATTTTTGAGCTTGTTGGAAATTCATGTGGAACTGTGGGCCAGGAAATTGAATATGTGAGTATGAATCTAGGAGCAAAGTTTTTGCTAGAAACATGAATTTGGGATTCACTAGCAAAGAGGTAGAATTTAAATGGGTGGCCTTAGAATTGAAGAGGTGGCTTAAAAGTTTATGATCCTGTTTATGTGTAGAGGATAAGTTTCCAATGTACTTTCTTTGGGCCCAATGATATTTAAAA